GGTAGTATTGCCATTTTGACAATGTTAAGTCTCCCGACCCATGAGCAGGGGATATCTTTTCATTTCCTCATGACCTCTTTTATTTCCTGAAGTAGCGTTTTGTAGTTTTCTTTGTACAGGTCCTTTACTTCCTTAGTTAAGGTGATTCCAAGGTACTTGATTTTCTGGTGCACAATTGTGAACGGGATTGTTTTTTTCATGTAGCTTTCCTCTCTCTCACTGTTTGCGTATAGGAAAGCCATGGACTTTTGGGTATTGATTTTATAGCCTGCAACTTTACCATACAAGTCTATTGTTTCTAGGAGTTTTTTGTGGAGGTTATTGGGTTCTCTAAGTATAGTAACATATCATCTGCGAATAGTGAGAGCTTGATTTCTTCCTTTCCTACCTGAATGCCCTTAATATCTTTTTCTTGCCTAATCGCTATTGCAAGTACTTCCAGTACTATATTGAACAGAAGTGGAGAGAGTGGGCATCCTTGTCTCGTCCCTGATCTTAGAGGGAAGGCTCTCAGTTTTTCCCCATTGAGGATGATGCTTGCTGTAGGCTTGTGGTAGATGGCTTTAACTATGTTGATTACATTCCCCTCTATACCCATTTTGGCTAGGGTTTTCATCATAAAGGGGTGCTGGATCTTATCAAATGCTTTCTCTGCATCTATTGATATGATCATATGTTTTTTACCTTACCTTTTGTTGATATGATGGATTATGTTGATTGATTTCCGGATGTAGAAGATTCACTTTCCACCCTCGTGTTCTGCTCCTGCTTCCCCCCTCCCTTCATTAGTTTTCCAGTCCCTCAAAAGTAACTGATTAAACCTGGACTTAGCTGACTCACAGGTCCTCCACTATCTGCTTCACCTTCATCTACCACTGCTAACCACTGTCAAGTCTGTGCCTCTTCCAAGCTCTCTGCTATTTGTCAGCCCTTAATTTTTCTTCTATTTGGGGACCATGTATGGCTGTGCTTAGGGCTTACTCCTGGCTCTGTGCTCAGGGGTTCCTTTTAGTAGTGCTCATAAACACCCCATGATGACAATGACTTGAAGTTGAAATACTTCATTGTAACTGTATAGGGCATATGTGGTGCCAGTGATTAAACTGGAGTCAGCCACAAGCAAAGAAAGCACCTTCATCCCAGTACCATATCTATGGCACTTAATCTGCCCTTCTTTCAGGCTGAGTTCAAATCCTCCTTTCTTTGCTTTTACAACTTCTAGAATTATCAGTAAAGCCAAATGCCTCTCCATAACTAGTCTGCCGCGTAGAGTACTCCTAACTCTCATCTTTTGTGTAAAGGCAGTGTTTGAGGCCTAGTATGTCCTAGTATTGTCACTGGGCCATACTATTTGGGGTTCTTTTCAGTGAGTGGCAACAAGTCTATGACATGGTCTAGTGGTAGTAATAGCAACAAACTCCTATTATGTCTGAGACCCTTTTCTGAGTTAGACATACAATGTTTATCTCATTTAAAGCTAACCACAACTCATGGGAGGAAAATATTGGAATAACATAAAATTCAAGTCTCAATAATATTCCAATTATTAAATAGTTCCAAGGAGAAAGTGATTCCTTAAGTTTAAAATGAACTTTTTGTTTTCCATCTCTTCTTACATTTGTAAAGGATCATTACCCAGATCTGAGTTAACCTGGCTGCCAGAGTCCAGGATCTGGTTCTAGAACTTAGAACTTAGAGTGGAGGACCTCAAAGTCTAGTACCTACCTGGTACCTACCTACCTAGGCATGTTCTGGAAGATTGGTTCCTTCCCAGGTCTTACCCCTGAGCATGAAAGCTACCTTTAAGACAAGAAACTAATTTTTGCATCACTCTTATTTTGACTATTTGGTGGACAAAAGCAGAGGGTATATTATGTAGTGGATGGTGAAAGATATCCTTAACTCTTGCAGGAACATACATTTTTTAAAAAGAACATTTTTCTTTAAATGGGCACAAGAATATTGGCATCTTGGACAACTATTCAAGTTAACAGAGTGGTTAACTTGAGTATTATTCTTTTTCTGGTTGAGAATCAAGCAAGGAGACCATAATGTTTCTTGCTTTGGAATTAATTTTCTGCCATAAACATTCAACGTTAAAACTTAATTATTCTCAAATATTCTTTTCTTGTCTTAATCAAAATTTCCTACTATAACACTCCATGCTGCCAATGACTCAAAGTTATTGAAATACTGCATCATAACTGGATTGGGCACAATCCTAAGGTATACTGTGTATTTTGTACAGAACCACTGACTTTTGGACCTTGAGATTTTTTTTTTTCTCTTTTGGGATCATACGCGGCAATGCACAGGCGTTACTCCTGGTTCATGCACTCGGGAATTACTCCTGGTCGTGCTCTGAGGGTGGGGCTGGAGCGATAGCATAGTGGTAGAGCCTTTGCCTTGCACGAGGCAGACCTGACCCACCCGGGTTCAATTCTTCCACACCTCTTAGAGAGCCCGGCAAGCTACCAACAGTATTTCGCCCACACGGCAAAGTCTGGCAAGCTACTTGTGACATATTTGATATGCCAAGCACAGTAATAATAAGTCTCACAATGGAGACGTTACTGCGCCCGCTCTAGCAAATCAATGAACAACGGGAGGACAGGGACAGGTGCTCAGGGGACCATATGGGATGCTGGGAATCGAACACAAGTCGGCCACTTGCCAGGCAAATGCTCTACCCACTGTGTTATTGCTCCAACCTCAACTTTGAGATTTTAAGCAGCATTTTGAGATCTGGAATTGATGAGATAACGATATGCCACAAATTGTGTGATGAAACCAAGATTGTACAAACTCTGCTCACATGTTTTTGTTTGTTTTGGTTTTATTTTAGGACCACTTCTGGGGATACGCAGAGGCTCTTCCCAGATCAGTGCTCAGGAGTTGCTCTAGGAGAGCTGGGGGAGACTGAGCATTGCCAGCATAAAACCTGGGCCTTCCACATGCAAAGTATTTGCTTAGCTCTTTGAGGTACCTCTGATATTAACTTACATGTTTCCTTAGTTTAACTGGGACACAGCCATGCCCATTATTTTGTTTGTTATCTTAACTGCATTATTATTATAGTGCCAGAACTGAGTTGTTGGGGCAGAAAACACATGAGCTGCAGAGTTTAAAACAGTGCAACCAAGGTCCGTGAACTCATGTCTTCCTACAGAAACTTCCTGCTGGTTCAAGAAAGAGTTGTTGCTACCTATCCCAGGGGTCATGGGCCACACCAAGGAGCGGAGCAGGACTGTCCCACACAGGTTGTGCAAGCGGCGATGTGTACACACAGACATGGTTTTTGCTATTTCCATCAGAGTAAAAAAGGTGAAAATTACTGATCTAAAATATTTACTGTTTGAAACCTTTACAGTAAAATTTTGCTGCCCCCAGATTAAAGAATCCCCCAGGTCTAAGAAACTCATGGGGCAGTGCTTAAAGAACAACAAAAATACTTCTATAACTAAACACAGAGAGACAAAACTGAAAAGAATTCTAAGTTCCTATAGAAATGTGAAAATATTTTGGACAAGTTTCATACTTGTTTCCCAGGTGTTTATTTCCACAGATACCTCCTTTCCCCAAAGTTCCAGGTATAGATGATTTTATGTGCAACTTCTTTCAGGTTGCACAAAATATTTCAGACTGTAGAAAGTATGAAAGCTTAACAAAAATATTTTGCGAGAATAAACCTTAATTTAAAAAAACACTTGACAAGTAAAACATAATGTAGCTGGTCAATTTCAGTAGCTTTATTTTGAATTTAGATTCTTAAAGATTATAAAATCTTTTTTGTTTTTTGTTTTGTTTTGGGCAGAGGCAGGGGAGAGGGCTACACCTGGTGGTACTCAGGGCTTACTCTTGGCTCTGTACTCAGATTCACTCTTGATAGTACTTGAAGGACCATACATAGTGTTGGAGATCAAACCAGGATCAATCATGTGAGAGGCAAATGCTTTACTATGTCTTTGCCCCCCCAATCTATAAAATATTGGAAAACTTAATTCCAGAAGCACACTGAATGACATTTGATAAACATTTTTAACTTTAATGCAGAAAATCTAAAGGCTTTGCAAAAAAAAAAAATCTAGCTAATACCTAAATATTCCACAAAAAATCCAGAAATTATGTTTAGTTTTAACATAGTCATTATATTAACTAGTAGGATTAAACTTTGTAAGTTGAACAAAAATATTGAGTAAATTAATATACTTATTTTTATATTCTTATCCACTCTAGGCACTCAGTGATGTTTATACCTCTAAAGAGAAGTGAAAATCTGGGTGGGAATCCCACTTGCCTGGTGACTGATATAATGCTACCAAATCACATATCCTCCTAGGGTCATGCAAAATCACATTCAAAGTGTGACTTCTGGTTTCAACTAAACCCTGTTATGGCTGTTTTATTAGTCAATTTTGTTTTTAATGTGAGAAATAGAGAGGTAGAGGCGTGAGAAAACACTTTTGAATGGCAGAAGCATTTGTACAAATGTTTTACTGTCTCATTAGACTCAAATAGTGGCATGCATCTCAAATATGTGTGTTTGTGGGGAGGACCATGCAGGCAATAACGAGAGAAAATACTGAAGGAAAGAATAGCGCCCTTTCCATACAGACCTTTCCCTTTCTTCCTAGGTCTTTTAAGCTTCACAAAAGGAGACATATTTTCCATATAATTGCTAAACATGTTTGCTTATTAAATTATTCTTTAATTAGTTAATGATTTTAGCCATGCTTTGCTCTTCGGATATTCATTTTGTATAATAAAATAATTATAGATAATTAAACTATCTGAAGCCTTTTTCTTCCCTCAGCAAACATGCTGGGTATCCAAAAATGACAACAAGTTGTAAATTAATCTGGAAAACAAAGCATGACAGATGAATGATTTGGTTGGAATTAATTAGGCACTAATTATATACTGGAACTAGATGAGGAATGAGAATCATTATAAAAATAAAATGCTATTCTGAAAAGATGCGCAGCTACCAACATCCTTACCTTCTGGGATGATGGAATTGCTCCTTATCCAAGTCAATGCCTCAAAGCAATCTTCTTCATCGTTGAGAAGGAAATGATTGCGAGGAACTATACCAGTGTATCGCTGCTTACTGTTGTTTGCAACCTCCCTATTTGTTGGGAGCAAATTAATATCCACCCCCGAAGGGCAAGGGACCTGAGTAAGTTACAAAGAAATGCTTATGTCAGTGATGAAGCATTGACTTGCTAATAACTGGATCGGTGCATTACATTAATATGATATAACAATGTCAAGAGTGGGTCTTTTTCTGTCCCCAGATATAAAATTTTTTTAAATTGAAATAAAAACCAAAAACCCAAACCAGTGAAATGGCCACATAAAACTAATTCTCAGGAGCTGTTTCTAATTCTAATGCTGGATAACAACTTATTTCAAAACTCAGTGATGCAAAACAACTATTTATCAGGGTCACAGCTTCTGTGAGACAGGGCAGAGTGGGGGCAGTTTATCTCTGTTCCTCAATGTTAGAGGCTCCGCTGGCAAGATCTGAAGGTTAGAAATGACCCGATAACAAGGGGCAGCGATTATCCGGAGATGAACAATATCAAGCCTCTTTATTTTCCCAAGAAAATATGCTGGATATTAAAAAATGACAATGAATTGCCACTACAGGCCTAGCAGTAGATGATGGGATCTCAGGTGCACTGGTCAGAAATCTCACAGGTGACTTCTTCATGCATGTTAGCCTTCTTCTCAGCGTGCAGTCTGAGTTCCTAGGCTACAGCATGTCTTGAGAGAACCAGCACAGAGAGCTCTGTGTTCTTTCCAAAAATAGTCTTGAAAGTCAAGCAGTGTATTTTCTACTCCATTTTATTCATGGAAGTATCCGAGACATCTGCTTAGGGTCAAGGGCGGGGGAACCCTGCAATCTACATCTTCCTACAGCAGTGGCAAGCCTAGGGGTGAACATAAGGCACTGTATGTAATGTGTCTATTTTTGGCACAAAGGAAAAAATATGTGTAGATGCAATTATCTTGATAATTAAGTGAATATCAGTTATATTGATATTCAAATGTCTAGGAAGAAAATAAAATAAGTGGAATATTATTCACTCATGAAACTATAGGATTATTCTTCACTTCATTAAAGAAGTTTTCTCTTTGTCTATCTCTCTCTTGCTTCCTCCCGCCAGAGCCTTCTTATTTTCCATGTGTTCTCTCACTTTTGACAGATACTTTCTTCTATTCTAGGGTAAGCAACAGTGCAAATATAGTGAAGGACAATGGCTGCCATGTGTGTTCTTGGTGTCAAGGAACTCATGGCGAACTGGAGGGAGTCTGTGCCCTGACTGGTATATTTAGCCATAACCCAGCTCCGGCAGAGGAACCCAGGCATGCGGGTCCCCGGGGCTGAGATCTCCAAGCCTGCTCAGATTGGGACTGGGCCTCCTCCATCCAGATTCCCCCCAACTTCCAGTAGATAGGCGTCACCCCCACCAACTGCCCCCGGCGCCAGGTAATTCCCATCGACGTTCAAGATCCAGAGACTATAAAACCCAGTTCCCAGAAGCACATGACTGCATTTGTGGCCACGTGACATCTTATTATCTAGTTTTTACTCTGGAGAACCCGGCAGGCTACCAAAGTATCCTTCCCGCTTGGCAGAGTCTGGCAAACTACCTGTGGCGTACTCAATATGCCAAAAACCAGTAACAATGATGGGTCTCATTCTTCTGACTCTGAAAGAGCCTTGAATATGGCACTTTCTAAAATCTCAGGGCTAGAACAAAGGAGACGTTACTGGTGCCTCCTCCAGGAAATCGATGAGCAACAGGATAATCATGATCATGATCGTGAACCCAGCTCCATTTAGCTGCTGCCAGAACAGAACATGGTTCGGTGTGGTAAAGTTTTCTTTCTCAAGAAATGCCAGACACTAATGGTTTATGTGGCTCAATTTTTATTTTTTTAATATTTTTTTCTAATTAAACTCAATTAGTGAAAGTCAAGTAAAACAACACAGTAACACAGTTTGCCCACCAGACCACCCCTTTGCTATTATTTTTGACTGATAGGGGAGATTATACGGATGAGGTAGAGGACAGTGCTGGCAAAGAGATTCAGACAAGTCGAGTCCTCTTTTAGAAGCCCTGCACCAACTGTGTCGCACACTTGTGGTGTGAGGTCTAAGGCCTTGTCTAAGGTAAGTAGTTCACTTGTAACCGAGACAAATAATGGGTGCAAAAATGTTATTTCTCACTTCATAGATTCAGATAATTCTTCTTATACAGGATAGAGTTGAATATTGACTGGCGCTTAAATATGACTTTGCTAAACTGCAATTACATTAAAAGTATTTTGGTTATGTCCTTCATCCATAAAACTTATAAAGCTTTGCTATCCTACTATGAAATATTAAATTTCATATGGGTTAAATGATTTTTTCAAGAAATTTATTTTTAAAAGCTACATGTCTTTTCCCCATGAAGAGGCTGAAGTGAAATTATATTTAGCAAAATGGAACAAACTGAAAAGAACTGCTCATTAATGCAACTAAAGTGGTGATAGCAAAATTTTTATATAAGCTACATAACTTATTTGGCAATACTATACCAACACTTCAGTGTTATTATATTCATAGTTATTATAAAGCTATGTAGTTGGAATTTGGTGAATGATTGACAGGGTACAATGTTGAATACTGTGATTTAGAGGTTTGAACTATCAAAGTGAAACAGCTATGAGAATTTCAATACAAAAGAAAAAAATTATACAATTTTAAGTCATGCTTTAATGAATCAGAAAAAAGACCTGGGCTAAAATAGCAGGCCTAAAGAACAAATTGAAAGCTGTTCAATTAAAAAATACTTTAATGAGTTATTTCAAATTCTGGGTGTTTAGACCCACTATCAAAACATCTGGCTGTTGAAGATCCACTATATAAAACATTTGGATTAAAAATAGATAGGGAATTTCATGGGAAGGGGGGCGTTTTGGTCCGCCCTTCACGCCCTACCAAGGTCACCAGTTGCCCCCCACGAGCGGCTCTCCAGCACGGCCACGACTCCAGAGCACAGAAACCGATTTCTTAATTATCTGACTTTCAGTAGAAATACTTCCAGGGTTAATAAGTAAAATAGCAGAAATCCCAAACCAACATTTAATTCTTGAACCCAGCTGTAGAAAGCAAATCACTTCACAATGCTTTTTCAGCATGTCTGATTTTGGGGGGGGGGGTAAACTCTAAATAATAGTGGTGAATCTTTTATTGAAACAATGAATCTAATCAAAGCAGATAGAGTGCTAACTAGAATTCATCTGCCTCACAGGGACTGGGAGGGGTGGGGGTGGGGTTTTATTGGGGTTCTTCATGGTAAAAAATAAGTATTGGTAAAGGGAAATGAGTTTGATATTTGCATGACTGAGACCTAAAACTGAAAGCTTTGTAACTTTTCCCACAGTGATTCAATAAATAAATAAATTTAAAAAATAAATAAAGCTAAATAGAAAAAAATAGATAGGGAATAAAGATTAAGTTCTCAAATTAAAAATTAGTTTATTGCAATCCTGAAAGGTAATAGCATTCTGATCATTCATAAAATTCTCTCTTTTTATTGAATCACTGTGAGATACACAGTTACAAAGTTGTTTGTGATTGGGTTTCAGACATATAATATTCCAACACTTCCCTTCATCAGTGTACATTTCCCACCACCAATGTTCTGATGCCCCACCCCACCCCCAGTCTCTATGGCAGGCACTTTTCTTCTCTCTTTCTCTCTCTCTCTCTCTCTCTCTCTCTCTCTCTCTCTCTCTCTTTCTCTCTCTCTCTCGTTCCTTTTGGGCAGTATGGTTTGCAATACAGATACTGAAAGGTTATCATTCATATTCCTTTACTTATTTTCAGTACTCAGCTGTTTTTTAAAATTTATATACCTAATATTTTTATTTTATTGTTTAATTTCTTTTTGATGAATCACCATGAGGTACAGTTACAGACTTACAAACTTTCATGCTTAAGTTTCAGTCATACAATGATCGAGTATCCATCTCACCACCAGTGCCCATTCTCCACCAACAATACTCTCAGTATCTCTCCCCCCAGCCCCCCCCCCCCCCGTGGAAGGCGCATTCCCTTTTACTCTCTCCTTTTGTCGGTGCTCTGTTCTTGTCTAGAATTGTCCATTTCCAACTGTTATTGGGTAGATACTTTTTGAAGTCATCAACTGAATACCCAAAAAACACTAGTGAGAGAAAAGAAGGGAGGCAGCAAGAAGAGAGAGGAGGAAGACAAAAAAATGAGGGAGAAAGGATAGATAAGCAGTGAGGAATGACTCATGGCCTGGTCAGACCACCTGAGTTCAAATCCCAGTCTGCCACATTAATTTTTAGCTGATATTTGACCTCAGCATCATCCCTCCATTGCCTCATCTATAAAATTGGGATGCAAGAAATTAATCATTTAGTAGACTCAGTCTCTGTCATGTGTTCCTACCATCTTGAGGGGCCCCATAGTGGCAGACTCACTGACCCCTGAGACTGGGAGATCTCAGCCTTTTTTTTATCTTGGAATTGTCTCACCATCATTTTTATCTGTCCTAAATCTGCCTTCTGGAGTCATGATGTAGAACTGAAGCACTGTCCTCCCCTTGTTCATCAATTTGCTCGAGCAGGCGCCAGTAACATCTCCATTGTGAGACTTGTTGTTACTGTTTTTGGCATATTGAATATGCCATGCGGAGCCTGCCATGTTCCGCTGTGTGGACAGAAAACTCTCGGTAGCTTGCTGGGCTCTCTGAGAGAGTCGGAGGAATCGGACCCGGGTTGGCTGCATAAAAGGCAAATGCCCTACCACTGTGCTATTGCTCCAGCCCCATCTAATTTATTTTTCACATGAAAACCTTCAAATATCTGAGGATATTCCACTGAGTCTTTGCATCTCTGGATTAATATATGGGATGGTTCAGAGCTTTGGGAGAATTTCAGTTTGTTCTTTCTCTAAGTTTTAGATATGATTTCAAGAAACAAATATACTTCTTTTTTGTGATATATTCTTTGACATAATCACATGTAACATGTAATGGTCTCATAACTCAGTATCATCAGTACAAATTTTACCCATTGTCAGAATAAATGATATTTTTCTCCAATTAATTGTTTTGTTGGAATCTGATATTGCTGCTATGTTATCATAG